GACCATGGCTCGCCACCAGCCAATTGCCCAGGAGGAGGAGGAGGACAGCGCTCGCAGTTAACGACGACGCTCTTTGCCCACAGTTAGTCATGCACGCTCCGGTGAGACATCCAGAAAAGACGTGGTGAGTAAATTTATTTCATGCTTAGGTTAACATTTGTCCTTTGTGACAGTACACTGAGAATTACAATACGAAGACAATTCTGTCTAGAGTTTTGAAGGGCGCTAATAATGACGATTAGCATTAGCCCGTGCTCCAAGCACAGATATGAGTTCTTTATGGTGGCATAGGGAAATATTAAAAATATAGTGTGCTACAATTTAAGTGTTATTTACATGTATTTTTTTCTAAAATTGTCACCTGTATCTAAATCGAGACTGAAGCGCACGAAGTTTGAAAATAAACCGCTCAGCTACGTCACAGGCAGGCTGGGCGTGAACCTGCTGCGTCAGTTTCCGTGTGCATGTGAGTTTTGTGAATATGTAGGTGATTGAACAGTCAGAGGTGCTGCCAAAAAATAACCCTTTCTGCAATGAAATACAATGATATTAATTTTGATTCACTTTGCTGCGATACAAACCGGATACTTCATACTTGACAATAAAGTTAATTTAAAACTTATTACCACAATTCAAAAACAAAATCTGACGTTGAAATGAAAAGTTTTGTATTTGCAAGACTGAATATGAAAAGAAACAGAATTTAATTTTCAGTGAGGATCAAATACAGTTTCAAAGAAAAAAAAGTCTATCCTTTCAAATTCAGATTGTACAATTCAGATTCAAATATTCAATATGATTCAGAGTAAAATATACAAATCCATCCATTATCCGAGCCACTTCAATTCATGTAATTCAAATTCAGTATAAACTATTTAAAAGTGATTCACGTTTAGTTTTTGGTGGCAAATATTCCGCCCCACAGTGTCACACCTAGTTTAGTTTTGGTTGTAAAGTGTCCTTGAGTGTCTTGAAAGGCGCTTATAAATGAAATGGATTATTATAAGAAATTTCAAGGGTTATTTTTACTGACCATTCATTGGTCATGACATGTACAAATGTTTGTTTTCCTAACACACTGTCCATCCTTGTTTTCTTACAGTTCTTACAGCCGCTGTGAGACCTAACAGCCAAACATCTTGGGCCTCAGACCAGGAAATCGATGTCACAATCAAGAGACGGCTACATCTGGCTCCTAATCGGGATGGTGACAGGAAGGAGAGCATGAGAAGAAAAGAGGGCATGAGGAGCGCAACAATTTGATGCATAGAAAAATGCCGTTCAAGAGTAAGCTGCATCCAAATTTGGACTTTGTGTTCACTGTTAAATAAAGAAAAGTGCATTCTTCCAGTGAAGGCTGATATCAGGAACCTGTTCTGGCCCAGCGTAGGGCCGGAGTAGGGCCAGATATGGTTATACAATGCCGCTCAGATCTGGGCCGAATGCGGCCCACATCATGGATCCAGACGTGGGCCACTGCAGGACCGTCATTCATTGAGGTATGTGGGCCGAGTGTACGTGCCGTGTCTGCCCCAGAGCTGGGCCAGACCAATTTTGCTGTCTATTTAAATACACACATTAAATTCCACAGATGGGTTCGAGGTACTTTAAATTACACTAAGTACAGTGAAACTCCTCTACAACGAGATCATGTTTGCAGCAAGAAATTGTTCACAACAGGGGTTTTTTCACTGTAGCAAATTTGATCTCAGATGTAAGCACACACACTCGACCTCCCCTCGATCGCCACCCAAGACAGCGTTGCTCAGCTGATGTCATGCAATGAACTTTTAAGCCAGCCACGGGACGCTTCGTAGTCCTCGATGGCCATAGATGGAACTCGCCTTCTCTCTAATTAGCACAGAGTTAGCGTAAGGTTTTTAGCACGATAACAAGTAAAGCATTCCAGGAAACGTTGGTTTATTTGACTGTCCGTCGAGCCACAAGCAATTTACTCTGAGCAGCTAATGGGATGCATTCCACTCTATCTTCCACGGATCTAGCGACAGTATCTACACACATAGACAGTGAGGTCGCTCTTGGCCAATCGGAGGCCAGGATGATGCTCGGTAAGCCAATGGCAGAGCAGCTATGAGTATGTTGCGTTCAGGAAACTGCAGCTGTGACTGAAATAAACATCGTTCACTATGTAAACTGGTGTGGTGGTTGCTGTTGCCATTTCTGAACGAAGCAGTCAAGGTCGCTGTTGGATTAGACTTCGTTGTAGTGAATGTCTTCGCGAGGGTGGAGCACAGAAAATGATTTCGTATAACGCAACAGGGGGTTTTTCATCATATGGGGGGGCACGAGAATGGGAATGGTGTTAATGCATGAAGATTTTTTCACATTAGGGGGTATTTTCGCCCATGTAGGTTTCGTTCTAGAGGAGTTTCACTGTACTTACAAAGTATTACATAAAATTTTTTCTTTTTTCAAAAGGTGAGTTTTAGCTGCACTGGACAATGCTGGCATACTGTGCATTTGAAAAGGTAAGATTGATCAACATTTAAAAAAATACATGTAACGTTTAAAAGCAGACAGTTCAAACACCTTTTGATTTGCAATGTGTAAATTCACACAAAAATAAAAGCAGGGGACCACCAGCATGTTATGTTCTCTTTATTCTGCCGTTGATCCAAATTATTTACATACAATACAATACAATACAATACATCCTGATTTATATCACGCTTTCACAACATCAGCAGCTGTCACAAAGCACTTAACAAAACAGTTAACATAAAGTAAAATAATAAACACAACACAAAATACGCATGACAGTAAATGTACTACAAATGAGTTACATAAAATGAACGAGCTGATATGCTCAACCAGCTGAATTAAAGACGGGGAGTTGATTCCCGGCCTGTATCATGCATTGCCACATTTTTGCCATTTAAAAATCAATACAGCTGCAAGTGCCGCGGCGACGACTGCACCCAAAACTCCCCCTGCTACAATTGCTGTGTACAACACAAAATATTTTAAGAATCTCATTTCTTTGTCCACCAAAAATAACAAATACCGTGATCCCTCGCTTATTGCGGTTAATGGGGGCCGGGACCACCGCGATAGACGAAAATACGCGAAGTAGGGTTTTCCCCCCCGGCCCCTAAGCAATTTGTGTGTAAGGGTTTTTGGGTATCAGCATGTTTAAAATATGTAAACAGTATTTATACTTGACATATTTGATACAAATAGCAGTACACATATTTACTTAAATCTTTCATGATAAAACATTATAAAGTAATTAACGTTCATTAGCATTGTCTTTATGCAGCTGTGACAGTGTAGCCTCCATGAGAATCCAGCGAGCTGCTGTCCAGCTATCCCGCAGCGCACAGCCGATGTGTTTATGATTAGACAATTAAGGAGGCAAGAGACACTGCTGCTTTTTTCTCCCACTCACTCAGCCACTCTCGCACA